CGTGCTTTACTGCTCTGCACATTGGATAGGGTAAATAATTTGATTAGTTTTCTGTCGCTTAGCCTGTCACTTTACCTTCAATTGATTGTTTAGCCTAGCAAATACTCCTTTTCCTTTTTTGTCCATATATAGCAAGCTCCAAAGAGACGAGTTTAATCAGCTCACTCTAGCTCTTAGTCCATATAGCCAGTTGGTCCACTAATATTTTGTCTGTCGGCAAAGCCTCTCTTTCCTCTCTGTTCGGCGTAGTAATCCAGTGTCTTTTGTTGTTTTTCTCTCATTTTTCTTCCTTGGCATATATTCTTCTCCTGACTACGTGGCCATCATCGCCCCAGTGCTGTCCCAACTCGGTGACGTGAACGGTGGTCTGTGCTAACTGAGCAAGCAGAAAGAATTTGCTTTGCTGGTGTCAGTTCACGCACACCAACACTGCTACCTCATCTCACTGGCCAGTGTGTTTTCCCTAACTTGGCAGTGTGTTTTTTGCTGTGTTCTCTGCCTGCCAGTGCTTGCAGCGGTACAGTACCGTAGTACTGTACAGCAGCTTTGCTTCAGTTATCAATCAGCTTGTGCGCTCAGTGTCTTATCGCTGTGTGTCATTTGGGCCGGCAAACTGTTTACCTACACACCGACAAACTGTCTTCACTAGTTGACAACTCTACAGGTAAGTGGTACTAACATAAACTAACACACTAGGCAGTTGTCGCACTAACTGGACACACTTTGCCAGTCAGTCAGTCTTTTTGTTTCTTAGTTAGCAGTGTAGAAAATTGCGCTCTTTGCCGTGTCATAAACACATGCCCCACTCTTGCTCTTGCTGCACAGTTCCCCTTTTCCCTGCCCGTGCATTGTTTGTTGTCTTGTACTACGATTGCCTGTTTTTCTTTCTCTTTCTTACTCACTCACTAACTCACTTACTTTTCCTTTCCACCCAATCCCTTTTCTTGCATGTCTGTCTGCTGTCCCTCTCCTCTTGTTGACATTCCCACTGCTGACCATTAGTTCAGTTTTGTCGTTGTTTGTTGTTTGTAGTCACTGTGTGCCACCCCACCCACGACTCATCGGTTTCTGTAGTCTGTCTCAATGTCCCGTCAGTCGCCGTCAGTGTCGCCCCGCCGTAGACGGCAATCGATGACTGCACCTGAGCAGCCCTCTGAGCACCCAAGTAAGCGCACACTGTCTTCCCCACCCGTTTTCCCCTCTTAAACAACATTTCAAACTCCCGTTTGTTTTTCTTTCTTTCTCTTCTTTGTGGCCTCTTTTTCCCCACTTCACTTATTTTCTCTTTGATTTATCTGTTGACTGGTTTTTAAAATGCTCTTTTAACTCTTTTTATACTGCTAAATCGTATCTCTTTTTCTCTCCTTTGCTTCTCTTCTCTCCTTCTGTCTCTTTCAATCACCATTATCTCTTTTCCTCCGCAGACGAGGTGAACATCAGCAACCTCGGGCACTACCGTTCAGAAGAGGACAGCGACGAGGCGAACGTCAGCACGCCGATGATAATGGACTCCGATCTGCGATCACCTCAACGCGATGGACTGGCCCTGCCAAACAAGGCCGCCTACGGGACGCTGTACTACGTCACCCAGGGCATTGGCATTCTCCTGGTGCTGGTCACCGCCATCTGGCTCGGCCGCTACATTGGCGGATTCGGCTTTGCCAGCGCCAAGCAGGTCTTCAACTACCATCCCATTCTCATGATTATTGGCTTTGTTTTTATTTACGGAAACGGTATGTCATAGGATGTGCTTTTTAGAATGAGAAAATGATAATCATCAAGATAACTTAAATAACATTTTTTTCTTTTTCTTTTTCAGCCATGTTGATCTACCGTACACTGCGTGGAGAGCTGAAGCCCAAGCTGAAGCTGATGCACGCCATCCTCATGGGCTCGATCATGGTCATCTGCTCGGTGGGCAGTCTGTCGGTGTTCTACTTTCACGTGAAGGCCTCCATCCCGCACTTTTACTCGCTGCACAGCTGGCTAGGCATTAGCACTTGGACGTTCTTTCTTGCACAGTTCAGCGGCGGCTTTGCTGCCTACCTCTTTCCGGGCGCTTCGTACAACGTTCGAACGCTGATGATGCCATTCCATCGCTTCTTCGGTGTTGCCACCTTTGTCCTAGCCGCGGCCACCTGCCTCACTGGCCTCAATGAAAAGGCAATCTTTGCACTGAACGGACAAGATGGGTAAGATTACAATTAAGGAATGCAGTTTGGACTACAAAACACTAAACACTTAATATTTTGTGCATCTTTCAGATATCCAAAGTACACTGAAAAAACGGCTGCTGGCTTTCTCGTCAACTTCGTTGCTCTCATTTTAGTTGCCTACGTGTCCTTGGTTGTGTACCTAGTTACCAAGCCTGACTTCAAGCGCCAGCCGCTGCCTGAAGAACAGGTGATCAATCTCAACTTTGATCTAACCTCAAACAATTAAGCTTTCTCTCTCACTTTCTCTCACTTTTTTCCTCTATTTTTCTGCTATTGTTGACTTGTCCACTTACACTTTATGTCATCTTTTTTTGTTTTTCCTGTTTTACAGACAATCCCAACTACCCCTAAACACTCGTCGGCACCTACTGCCCGAAATGCCCCGTAGACTAGCTGAATTATTCCCAAGCCTGGTGTCTATTTCATAACTTTCAAGCATCAAGCTCATCATGCCAATCCAAACATCCAAACGCGTACAACTGAAAACCTAAGATATCTTTTTTAACCCTAGTCGTTACTGGCAACCAAACCTGCAACACATTTACACTTTTGGCTTAACATTTTAACAATATTCTTTTGTCAGCTGTTTTTGAAGCTGATTTTCAGCATTACCGCATGTCCACTAACACAATATTTTGCTTTCTAAAAGTTGTTTTTTTGTGGCACAGTCTGATCTTTCAATATCATTTTGTGGAATTTTGTGATTTAATTAAACACACACACACATATACACTGGCACACCAGCAAACCAACTCAAAAAACTATCCTCTATTTCATTAAAAATCACTTAATTGTTAAAATTGACTGTTTTATTATTTCATTAGTCAAAGACGGTGCTTTTAGAAAGCGGTTAAAAGAGAGAAAGAAATATGTGACTTTTTTGGTGATGTTTGTGTGTGTGGGTGTGTGTGTGTGTGTGTTTGGCAGGCGGTAATGTGTTAGAGATATTTGCGCTGGGTAAAAGATCCAAGTGAAACTCTGCAACTTGATTCTAGGCAACAGTAAAGTTGAGGACGCCATTCTTGATGGGCACACCGCCGTACTTGAGTTCAATGGTGTAGTCACCGGGCTCCTTCACCTTGTACTTCACCGAGAAGGTGCCGTCCTTGTTCTTCACCACCTGGCAGTTGATGTTCTCCTGGATCTCGCGTTGTGTTTGCGTCTTTGTCTCTCTGCGAGTCTCGCGGATGATCTTCGTTGCACCGGAAGGCAGCGTCTCTGTGCGCTCAGTCACCGTCTCATTGGACTCAGATTTTGAGTAGACGCGGGTCACTTTGCAGGTGAGCGAACCGTTGCCGGCTCCACTGGCCGTCACCTTCACTGACACCTCCTCATTGGCGTTGATTTTGTCCTTTAGAGCACCTAGAAAACGTGTGTAAAATGTTGTTAAACTAAGGTTTAATTTAAAGAGTCAAACGGATTACCTTCAATTTCGCATTTGGCCGCATCACCCGTCTGGACTGAGTTTACAGTGAACGGCGGCGCCACTTCTTGTCCGTCAAACTTGACAGTTACCTTGTGTTCACCGATGTCTTCAGGAACGTACGTAATCTTGTAAGTTCCATCCTTGTAGTCGGTTTTCCAGTATCGCATTGGTTGACCTTTAGGATTCTGTGCAAATTCAATAAACAAAAGTTAGTCGCACTTTTTCTGGTTTAACTACTACTTTTGAACATCACTTACAGCAATGACAACTTCAAGTGGTCCAAATCCGGCGTTTTTAGTGTCCACGGTAAACTCAGTGGGCAAACTGGCGGGCACCTCTTTGCCGAGGCCTGGACCAGAAAGCTTCACATTGCCCGGCTCAGACTTCTTCTTCACCTTCATCTGGAAAGTACTGTTGTAACAAGTGGTTGTTGTTGTTATTAGACATTGTGTTCACTTTGTGCAGTTACTAATTTGCAGTACTTACCTTCCCTTGATATCTTTGCCACCATAGGTCACCTTGACATTGCACGGGCTACCTTCCGGCGGGGGCTTGTAGGTGACATCATAGGTGCCATTGCCGTTGTCCTTGATGACCGGCTTTTCGGCAATTGGCCCCTTGTCAGTGCTCACCTGAACATCGAGAGGCGCCTTGGCCGACTTCTTGGCGTCCACCTTAAAGGTGAGCTCTTCAGCGGCACGGCAGTTGTTCGGATCGACGCCTGGCCCGGAGGCAGTTACCTTTGAGGCGTCCACTTCAGCCTTCACAGGCACCTTAAACGGACTTCCTGATATTGAAAGTAATAATTGGTAAATCACCAGGACACAACAATAGGTAACAAGTGAAAACAACTTACCAGGCACGTGCTGGTCGCCGAATCGTACTGAAATATCATAGTCGCCACCCTCATCGGGCACATACTGCACTGAGCAGGTTCCATTGCGGTTGTCCAGACACTTCACCTTCGCCTCAGTAGGACCTTCAATGGACAGGCCGAGACCACCGTTACCGGCGCCCAGCGTTTCCACCGTGAACTCATTGGGTTGATTGACAAAACCTTGTTCAATTCCAGGTCCGTAGACCTTGACTCGTTTGGGATCAAAGCCCTGGGTTGCTTTTACTTTTGCTGGAGTTGGTAAGCCATCTGCAAAACACATCAAGATAAAAGAGATGAATCTAGACGCAAGTATTGAGAAAATAGTCTCAAAACTAGTAGCTAGTTTTGACAAAAGTAAATTTGAACGACACATTTTACAACAGGCTAAATTCGCTAGCGCGCTTCGTAAAAGGCGTTACCCTCCCCGCCTACTCTGGACTG